TTTATTCTTAACTCAAATTTTGGCATTTTCTAGCATACCCAGATGTTTATATCATCACAAAATAATTTTTTAACCATTTATGGCAATTCAGAAAACTGCATCTGGTACTTCTTATATGCTTCCTCTAAAATCACCACTTCTGCCAAAAACATCTATAAAGAAATCCCTCAAAAGGTTTGGGTATCAAAGCGTCTGGGAATGTATTTGGCCTATGTTCAACAGGACATTATATGTTTTCTTGTATAAATCATGTTCTGGAAAATGGAATTCTTTATTTCAAATAAAAACTCTACCATCCAGCGCCATAAAGGTAGTTCCATGAAAAACATTTTAGGCTTCTTTTATATTTGCAGTTTTAAATATGTTTTTATGCTTCATATTACAGTTTTTACTGGGACTCATACGTTCTTTTAGATTTTCTTTTTAAAAATAAGGAACTTTTCCATTCTCAACTCATAGAAGACTTTTTTTTAAAAGCAGTCACTAAACCTTCTTAATGAAAATAAATCAGTTATGAGGCCCTTTAAGATACAGGTATAAATTGGCAGATGGACTGAAAGATATTCTCAATGCCAGAATCTAAATTTGTATTTTTTATGAAAACCTATTTTCCTGTGCATACCATAAAATTCACCATTTTACTAACAGTTATCAAAACGAACTACGTCGCACTTTCTACTTCAATTTTATCCAATCACAAGAAACCCTGGGGGCGTAGTAGTTAAGAGCTGCTAACCAAAAGGCTGGCAGTTTGAATCCACTAGGCGCTCCTTGGAAACCCTATGGGGCAGTTCTACTCTGTGCTATAGGGTTGCTGTGAGTAGGAATCGACTCGACAGCAATGGGTTTTTTGTTTTTTTTTTTTAGTTTTTCATTTAGGCAGAAACTTATTTCAAGGATGATGGTAAAGAACAAGGAGTGAAAGAAGAAAAATGACAAGTTTGGCCATAAATATAGCAAGATGTGTCTTTTAATGGTTCAGCTACAGTCCATGTTTACATTCCAGTTACTGTCGAGTGGATTATGACTCATGGCAATACTATGTGTGTCAGCGTAGAACTGTGCTCCACAGAGTGTTTAACAGTTGATTTTTCAGAAGCAGATCATTGGGCCTTTCTTCCAAGGCACCTCTGGGTAGACCTGAAACCCCCAATCTTTCAGTTGACAGCCAAGCGCAATAACTGCACCAGCCAGGGACTCCACAGGTGTACACTTTCTCATGATGACAATTTCATCGAAATTCTGAACTCTGATCAACTCAGAATAGTTGATTAGAGATGCTGTCCTATCTGCTTCATAGAGGACTAGTGTCTTGAGTTTGAAAAAACAATGAAGTGTAGGATGGCATGTGAAATGAGTCTTTGGAACTACTGGAAAAAGAATGTTTTCAGGTAAAATGTTGAAAAGTAATTTATAACAGAAAGGATAGCAGTAATTCTTCTATCAGCCAACATTTTATCTATTAAAATCAGGGCTTCAAACCCTGCTGAGCACGTGCATTTCTAACACGTTCCCAGGAAGTTATAGGTGAGAATCACCGGAGGATCTTGTTAAAATGTAGATTCTGATTCAGTATATCTGGGGTGGAAATGTAAATTCGCAGCAGGGAACTTATTAGAAATGCAAATTCTCAGCACAAGTTTAAACCAGACTGACCCAACTGGAAGCCTTAGTTAAAATACAGTACCTATAGGAGTTTAGAGGAGTCCCTGGGTGGTGCAAACAATTAAGCACTTAGTTACTAACTAAAAAGTTGGTAGTTATTCTCTCTTCTGTGCATGCATGCATGCACAGGTCAGATCCTACTACTGGTTTAAAGCTCCACTCACATTCCATTCCTCCATGGAACGCCCACTGACCCAAATGGGACCCTTAATGGGGTACTAAACACACACTATCTTATGACTACTGTTGGGCACTGCTGTCTTGAACTACTAACTTATGGTATACCTATGTTATATGTTACTTCCTTAGCTAAGTTCCTTAAAAAAAAAAAAAAAAGATCCTATCTAGTATCTTGCACAGCATCTAACCTAAAGCAAAGCAGTTAGTTCTCATTAATGCTTAGTGTCTGATAAGGCCATCTTCATACTTTTCATACAATGCTTATAAATACCCTCAACCCATAACCACAGCTGCATGAACATGACATTAACTAACAGTTATGTACTCTAATAATGATGGAAATCATCAACAGCCTACTATTTTAGTACTGGTATTATATGCAACAGCTCTCTCTTCATATGTCTAACCAGACTGAATTATCTCATCTCTGGTAGCGATGACATTATCAACCACTTTGAATGAAATACCACTTTTTAAAGTGCATTTCCTAATATTGTTTAAATGCTGAAAGTGTAGATCAACTAATCATCAGTCTACAGACGCTTAGAAATAAAACAATAGTTTGCCTCTACAATTCAAGTCTCTATGTACTTTCTTACAGCAAAACTTAATCTGTCTTTTTCAAAATTATTTCTCCTGGCAAATTTTTTTGCTGTCTGGCCAAGTTTTGTGTTAAAAATAAAGTACAGTATTACAACATCCATCAACATTTAAAGTACTTAATGATCTATGAAAGAAAACATAAACAGTGATTTTTTTTTGAAACAACCAAGCCAAAGTTGCATTTATATTCTCAAATCAGAGAATGCAGCTTTGAGAAAGTGAAATCGCATTTGTGTTTAGACATGTAAAAGTGATATTAAGCACTTAGGTAATATAAGAAAACAGATTGTTAAGAAGAGCTGTAAACGGCAAGAATGACTTAAAGACATACCAGAACCAAATGTCTCTCACTCCCCTTCCTGTCTGTACAACACTGGCCTCCTGCCTGCCCTTTCAAATACCAGTTGTGGAAGCTTAGAGTTTTTTCTAGCTAATACTGACTCCACAAAATGAGTCCAAAGTTTCTATTAATAATATTAATTGTAATTTTTTACATGTATAGAGACCTAAGCCTTGTCAGATATAATCAAGAAAACTCTGAAAATATTTTACTAGTGAGGATTTAAATGGGTGCCTGAAAAACCTAAAAATAATGCAAGGACGCTGGTATTTAATCAACCACAATATGTCATACAGTTTTTTTTAAAATCTTACTATCATTTACTGGGAGTGATTCAGGTAGATGTCTAAAAGGAATGTGGCCTTAGATATTACATATCAGCATGACATACAGCATTGAGTTGCCACAGACCAATGAGTTGGCCCAGAATACTGCCTTTTCACCTCCATCAGTCTAGCCCTACCCTAAGATATCAATTCTTCAGCTAATCCCTGGGTACACAGGAAGCCCCCCAGTGTGTCTCCTCTGGGTTTCCCATACATCTTTCAGATAATGCTGTAACTGCATTGGCCTTCAACCTAACTAGATTGTTTTCCCAATAAATACTGCCTCTAGGTAAGGGCAACCATTTCAACATTTAGGGCAGAAGAGAGAGGATACTGCTAGATTTCAAGGGAGCTGGAGATACATAAAATATTAGTCAGACTATAAATAATCATTTTGCCGACAGGCATACATACAGTAAAATGGAAAGATTGTAAGCTTTGGTTATGGGGTGAAAAGATTAGGGTTCAAATCTCATTCTTTAATATATAAAATGGCACTAATACCACCTACTTCCGAGTTGCTGATGAAGAGTAAATGAGAAGACCAAACGATACAGCATATGTTATGTACAATGTCCATAATAAATACTTGTCCACAGTAAATAACTGTCTCCTTACTGCCCATTTCCAGCCCCTCCACTAGATTTAGAGTTCCAAGATTAGCCAAGTCCTACTAAGTAAACATAAGGCTTTTAATTGGGCAGTAATTTGCCTCATAATCAAGTTATCTTGAGGACAACCACTTCCCATCTATTTTATTGCTTTTTGTATTCCTAAAAATCTCTTGTCTTCTGCTGATTTAGGCCAACTTACTTTGCCTTGTCCTTTGGTACCCAAGCTTCAGTGGTTCCTGACTGCTTGCCTCCTAGGTGTCTAAGTCACTGTTTCTGTTGTTTTATAATAACTCTGCCATGCTTTTTTTTTTTTTTGCCTATTTCTAATTCTACTTTATGTTGCTGTTAAGCGCCATCGAGTTGATTTTGACTCATAGTGATCCCATGTGACACAGCAGAACTGGCCCATAGCGTTTTCTCGGAAGTAATCTTTATGGAAGCAGATCACCAGGTCTTTCTCCCACGGAGCCACTGCATGGGTTTGAACTGCCAACCTTTTGGTTAGCAGCTAAGCACTTAACTGTTATTTCTTAATTCCTTAATTGTGTGTTCTAGTGCTGATGTGCCTAACCTGGGCACCTAAATCTGGTGCATTTTTAGGCTCCATTGCCACCTTTCTGATAACCTTGAATCATTATGTACTAAGTGCAGCCCCAGAATAGCTTCTTCCTGGTGGCCCCTAAATCAGAAATTAAATGAGGACATGCCATCCTGGTCAGCTGCTAGATTCAACAGTGCATTGTGAACCACCTGATTACGCGAGGTCCAACTGGTAATCCTAAGCACTGTTAGGAAACTGACAGAACTTATGAAACACCTTGTAAGCATCAAAAAACGACTGATGAACACCTGTGTGAAAAGCACCATCTACAATCATAAAAAGTGAGTTGTACCCCAGACATTCTTTCCACAAAATATTATTCTTTTACTTGACAGTATTGCCCTCTCCCACAGATCAAACAGCTTTAGGTAGGATGAACAGGGACTGATAAGGGAGAAGTCACAACCATAAAAAGTCAGATCAATCAACCCCACCCTCCCCTCGATGGTCAATGGGGTAACAGCCAACATAACTGGACTGCCTCAGTATCCAGGAAACCTAACTGGACAGTCAGGCCAACTTAATGACTCTTAAGAACCATTCTCAAATTGAAGCAAGTCAGTCATGGTAGATGGAAATGGAAGTCACACTTACTAAATTTGGTCTCACTCAACTGTATCAATGCACATTTGATTCTAATACTAATCTTACAGAAAAAAGGAAAAACCTACTATGTTTTTTAAGTTCTTCAATTTGTTCTTCCTTCAGATCTAACTGTTCTGTAAGCCTTGATGCTGAATCCAATGCAGCATTTGCTTCATCCAAACGTTCCTTTAAGGGAGGAAAGTTTATTAAAAAGGGTATGTAAAAACTGTATATAATAAATATAATACCAATTATGTATAATATATTCTATATTTATTGTTATATTTAATATTATACATAAATAATATTGTATAGTATATGTAATTATACACTGTATGTAGTTTTCTTTTTTAATTTTTATCCAGTTTTAGCAGTTTATTAGTTTCACAAAATGAATTCACGCGTTTTTCATCTTTTAATATGTTTTGGAATAGTTTAAATAACATATTAATCTTCATTTTGTTGTTGGGTACCTTAATCGGCCTCAGGAAGTTTACCTACTATGCATATATAATATATACATACAGATGCTCCATTTTAATCTTTTTAAATTAACTTTTGCCATCTACAACCAGAACATGGAGGATTTTTGATGTGACATCTTGGCTAGGCTACAGTCTCCAGTTATTCAATCAATCTGGATCTTGCTGTGAAAAGTATTTTACAAATGTAATCAAAGTCCTTAATCAGGTGAATTTAAGGAAGATAGATTATCCTGGATAATCTGGGTGAGCCTGACTGAACCAGTTGAAAGGCCTTAAAAGCAGGACTGAGGCTTCCTCAAAATAAAAGAAATTCCTTCTGTGGACAGCAGCTTTGGCCCATGCCCATGTAGCTCCAGCCTGCCCAAGCTTCCTTTCCTGACCACCTGGGGACAGCAGCTTCGGCCTGTGCACTCCAGCTTGCATCTGATCTTCACATCTTGACTGCCAAGCCTACAAATTTCGGACTTGCTTAGCCAGCCCCCACAATCACATAAATCAACTCCTTATAATAAATCTCATGTGTACATGTGTGTACCCATATATTATATACCCATTACTATATAATACATATCTATAAGAGATATATACTACCCATATATTGTACATAATATCCTTGTTTTACACACACACACACACACACACACACACACACACACACACCCCAACCCTGATTCTGCTTCTCTGATTGAACTCCCACATTCAGAGGAATTGAAATAAAAATTATTATTCAAAATTTTAAATATTTAAACTTTCAAAACTTTTTTTTTAACTTTGTAGCATTTATAACTTCTAAAATTATTAAAGCTTAAAAACTGCACTAAGGCTTTCAAAAATCAGCATTTAGATTTGGTTATTCTCTCTACTATCTGTTTTTTATCTCATTGATTTCAACTTCTATCATTATTAATTCCCTCTTCTGAATTTCTTCTGAATTGTTGTTGTCACTGTTAGGTGCCGTCAAGTTAGTTCCAACTCACAGCGACTCTATGTACAACAGAACGAAACACTGCCTGGTTCTAGGCCATCCTCACAATCGTTGCTATGTTTGAGGCCACTGTTGCAGCTACTGTGTCAATTCATCTCGTTGAGGGTGTTCCTCCTTTTGGCTGACCCTCTACCTTACCAAGCATGATGGCCTTCTTCAGGGACTGGTCCCTCCTGATAACATGTCCAAAGTACATGAGATGAAGTCTCACCATCCTCGCTTCTGAGAAGCATTCTGGCTGTGCTTATTCCAAACACATTTGTTCGTTCTTCTGGCAGTCCATGGTATGTTCAATATTCTTTACCAAGACCATAATTCAAATGCATCAATTCTTCTTCAGTCTTCTTTATTCATCGTCCAGCTTTCGCATGCATAGGAGGCGAATGAAAACATCACGGCTTGGGTTAGGTGCACCTTAATCCTCAAAGTGACATCTTTGCTTTTCAATACTTTAACGAGGTCTTTTGCAGCAGATTTGCCAAATACATCATTTGATTTCTTGACTCCTGCCTCCATGGGCATCAACTGTGGATTCAAGTAAAATAAATCTTTGACAACTTCAATCTTTTCTCCTTTTATCATGATGTTGCTTACTGGTCCGGTTGTGAGGATTTTTGTTTTCTTTACGTTGAGGTGTAATCCATAACTGAAGGCTACAGTCTTTAATCTTCATCAGTAAGTGCTTCAAGTCCTCTTCACTTTCAACAAGCAAGCCTATGTCATCTGCATATTGCAGGTTTTAATGAGTCTCCCTCCAATCCTGATGCCATGTTCTTCTTCATACAGTCCAGGTTCTTGGATCATTTGCTTTCCATACAGAAGGAGTAAGTATGATGAAAGGATACAACCCTGACACACAACTTTCCTGATTTTAAATCTTCTGATTTATTTTTTTCGTTTTATAAATGTATATCATCTTTTAAATTAAAAAGAAAAAAACTAGTTAAAAATGTAGCTCTGAGTTCCATTTTAGCAGTATGACACTAGATACCCTGGACCCACTGGAAACAATTAGAGGTGCTGGATAAAATGTATCTTTCTAAATGTATTAATGAGCTGACAAGAAATTAAGTATAAATGGTCATAAACATACTAAAAGATGCTCAGCCTTATTAGTAACTCCCAAGCTCAACCCACTGCCATTGAGTTGATTCCGACTCATAGTGACCCCATAGGGTTTCCAAGGCTGGAAACCTCTACGGAAGCAGACTGCCACATCTTTCTCCTGTGGAGCTGCTGGTGGTTTCGAACCACTAACCTTTCGGTTAGCATTCGATTGCTTTAACCACTGTGTCACCAGGACTCCTTCATTAGTAACTAGAGATTAGTAAAACTTAAAAAGCCTGACAGCACCAAGCGTTGAAAAGGATGTAGAACCAGAACTCTTATGCATTGCCCAAAGGAGTAATTTAGTACAACCACTTTAGAAAATGATGTACCATCATTCAGTAAAGCTGAAGACGCCTGTGTATATCCTATAACTCAGCGACTCCAATCAAGACAGACACCTGAAAGAACCTCTTGCACATGTAAACCAGGATATATAAACAAAAATGTTCATAAACACATGGTTTGTATAGCAAATATAAAGAACATCCTTTAACAGTAAAATGGTTAAATAAATTATATATACATTTAATGGAATAGCAGCAGTGACAATAATGAACCATCCATACACAGTGTTGTTGTTGCTGTCACAGAATTACTCAATTTATACACAGCTCAAATCTCATTTCTACAGAATTCAAAAATACTCAAAACCAAACAATATATTGTTACGAGATGCAAACTTATGTGATAAAACCATAAAGAAAAACAAGGGGGACTTCCAGGCAACATGGCGCTAGAGTCAGAAGCACCACACCGTCCCTCCACAGCAAAGATCTGAAAAAGTAAGTCAAACGGAGTCACACATCAGTCCTGAAACCCTAAGCATCAAATGAAGAGATAAAGAACTCAGCCAAAGACCGTATGGAATAAGAAACTGACCGAAAACAGAGGGTGAGGAGAGATACATGCAGAGGTCCCCTATCAGCTACTGCAGCACGGATCTGACCTCTTGGACTCCTATCGGAGATCAGCAAACGGGGTATGAGACAGCAGCTTCACGGAGCTTCCAGCAAAGACAGAACAACCAGTAACTAGTGATACAGGCCCTCCCACCCCCTACCCTTCTTCACCCCCACTTGGGCTCCTCTGCTTCCTGCCACCACAGTCTCTAGGCCAGGAAGCACCAGCTTCACCCTGGTGTCACTTGGATTCCACCCACTCGCACCGGCCGACTCCCCGCGTGCCATTTGTTGGCTGCTGGTGTTGCTTTTTTCTGCTTCATTAGATTTCTTCCTTACCTCTCATCACCGCCCCTCCTTTCTCTCAACTACCTGGATCCGTGTGTCATCTTTGCTTCTTCCCAAAAGGCTGCGAAACACCACCTGACTGTGAAACTTCTTCTTGGCCCGTGCCGCCATGCTGGTGGGAGCCCGGGGGCTTTTTTTAGTTTGTTTGTTCTGATTTGATTTGTTTGTTTTCTTTTTCTTTTCCTGGATTGGGAGCCTCTTCTAGCCGGGCAGTACCTCATAGTTTTGGAGGTACTTCCTTACTCTGCACAGATGCACAGTGACATCCCTGGGGGCATTTCTTTTTTCTTGTTTTTTGTTTTTGTTTCTTCTCTTTTTCCCTTTTTGTCTTTCTTCATTTTTAGTTTCTCGATTTATTCATTTTTTTCTTTTTCATTTTTGTTTTTCTCCATTTCTCAGTCTCTCATCTCTCCACTCCAATAGTAAGCTTCCTTAACACTCTTTTTTGTTTGTGTGTATGTGTTTGGCTCTTGTTCCTCTCTCCTCTTTCTCCTCTTTCCCATACTCATCTTAGCTGCACACATCACAACCCACCCCACGCCCCACTACCTGCCGACCAGCACCGTGCACTGAACATCACACTCCCAAGCAGCACAGGCATGGCCTACCAGAACTTGCCTTGCAATGATTCCCGGTCTGCCTTGTTGGCCCTACTACATGCCACAAACAACCCATCCCAGCCACTCCCCTTCAGCTGGACATGCCCTGCTGTACCATACCTGAGTGACTGACCCTGTCCATTGGAGAAGGTGAAAAGTATCATTCCCACAGACGAGCAAACAACAAAGGACGCACAGACCGCCTGCTCAGACATAACCAAATAAAACAAAAAAGCAGGACAAAACAAACAAATCTACAATCAATAAACGGGGAAAATAACTACTGAATGCCCCAAAGACAGGAAACAATATCAAAACATATACAAAAACAGGACAGGATGGTTCCAGGAGGCGTCCAAAATAAAACACCAGATGACTTTCCAGTAGAAAAAAAGGCACTAGAACTACCTGATAAGGAATTCAGATCTCTAATATGGAGAATTATCCAAGAGCTGAAGCAAAACACAGACAAAAATGAGGAAAAAATAGACAAATTCATGGAAAATACAGACAAAAATATGGAAGAATTCAGGAAAATAAAACAGGAACAAAATGCCAAAATAAATTCACAACTCTAAGTCATACAAAAACAACAATTAGAAATCCAAAAGATAAACAACAAGATTTCAGAAATGGACAGTGTCACAGAAGGGCTGAGGAGCAGGTTTGAAATGATGGAAGACAGGATCAGCGAAATTGAAGACACTTGGCTACAACTCTGAGGAAAAATAAGAAAAAAGAATGTAGAAAAATGAAGAAACCCTGAGAATTATGTGGGATACAATCAAAAGCAAAAATCTGTGAGTGATCGGAGTTCCAGAACAGGGGGAGAAAACAGAAAACACACAGAGGATTGAAGAATTGCTGACAGAAAACTTCCCCAATATCATGAAACATGAAAAGCTAACCATCCAAGAAGCTCAATGAACCCCATCCAGGATA